GCCGGCCCCGCCTGGGCTCCCGGGAGTCCCGCGAGGCGCTGCTCGCCTGCCTGCTCTGCATCCTCAACCTCCGCAAGAAGGTAGACGACTAAGACCTGCAGCGCCGAGCACCCGCCTCCCGCTCCCCCCCGCACCTTCCCACTCCCCCTCCCTGGAGGGGCGCTGCCCTCTGGCTGGAGGATGGGGCTCCCTCCTGCCTGGTGACAGCCCCCCCAGCCCTGCCATGGCAGCCGTGTGAGGGAGCCCCCCTCGCAAGCCCTGCTGCTGCCCCCCAGGAGGGCTGGGAGTGAGCTGGGCAGAGCCGAGGAGGAGGCGGCTCCGTGGGGAGCGCTGGGGGCTTCTCGGCCTCCCGAGCGAGTTGGACCGCAGTGCCTTGCTGTCTCCTCGCCTCTTGGCAGCCACCAGCCCTGGCACTTTGGGGGGCCCCCAGGCAGCCGATGCTGGGGGAGGATGTCTGGCAGCACGGTGAGGAAGGTCCAGCCCTTCACCATCAGCACCAAGCTCTCGCTGCCCAAGTGTGCCGCCGACTGCCCCGGAGACCCATGCCCTGACGTCGCCATGGCTGCCCTGGATAACCGCGGCCTGCGCCACAACCTCAATGAGCGCGTCTCCCTCTACCTGGCCCAGACCCAGGCGGCCCCAGGGCCCCCTGAAGGCAGGGTCCAGAGCACCAGCCCCATGGAGGAAGGGGTCTCTGATGAGGACCAGCTCAACCGCAACTCGCTCTCCCGCTCCATCAAGAAGATCACGCTGTCCAACTGGCATGGGGAGCCGGGCCCTGGTGAGGATGGGGTGGCCGGGGACCCTGCCCATGCCAGCTGCCAGAGGAACCACAACAACAACAACAGCCGACCAGGGAAAGCTCCCTTCAAGGTAAGGGCTCCTGGCTCCTTTTCCCTGCCTGTTGGTTCCTTTGCTTGTGCTCTGCATCCGATCCTGCCTTCTGCCTCTCTGCGTTCCACCCAGCCTAGACCTAGCTCCTGGTTTCTGTGCTCTGCTTTGGGAATTTCTGTCAGCCTCAAGGAGTAGGTATGCCAGCAGGAACGCATATGTGTGCTCATGTGGGTTTTGGGGGGAGCATAGGGCAAGGGCTGTAGCTGCTTCTCTAGCCTCCTGGTGAAGGAACCCAGCCTCCCCCTGCGCACGCTGTCCATAGAAGCAACTGTTCCCCCGCTAAGGGTCTCTTCTCCCAACACCTGGGAGGGGGAATTTTGAGAGAACCCTTCCCTCAGGGCTTAAACTGAATTAAAAACTCCACTTCTGAGTGCTAGCTGCAGAGTGTCCCACTGAGTTGCTGCGATGACCACACGCCTCTCACCATTTAATGAGGAGTTGCTCTCTCTTCCCTCCCATTTTACAGCTGGGGAAACTGAGGGGCAGTGAGTCACCTCTGGCCACACAGTGGGGCAGCCCCTGACTGTCAGTCTCCTGCTCTTGCCATTAGACAACCAAACCCTGCCAGAGGTAGGAAAAGAACCCAGGAGTCCCCAAACCCTGTCTCCCCTAGTCAGACCATGAGAACATGCTGCTTTCTTTTCATCCCTTGGTCCTTGGTCTCAGAAAATTCCCTTGCTGGGCTGGGGCTGGTGTAGAGAGAAGGCATCTGAGATCTCACTAGGGTTGGAGAAGGCAAGCAGGAACTCCCTGTGACTTAACCTCAACCCACAACAGCTGGCTTCACAGTGGGGCAGGCTGGAAGAGGAGAGCCTATGATCATCAAAACCTCCCGGCTTTGGTGCTGGTAAAGGCCAGACATGGTCTCACGCAAGCCTCTGGTGAGCTCAATGCAGAGGCAGATCACTGCCGAACAGCCTGGCTGAGCTGTCCCCAGATCCAGCCACAGCAAAAGCATTCCCAGCAACCCTTTGCCTTTTTTTTAAAGGATGGGACATACAGATTTTTTTTTTGGTTGTTGTGTGGGAGTTTGGAGCTTGAGTGGCAGGTCAACCCCTTCCTGTCTGTATATCATGAAGGGTGGGGCTGAAAAGGAAGGGAAGCCTGTAAAACTAAGCTTTGTAAAAGGGGAATAGAGAGCTTGGGACAGATCGGGGCATGTTGGATGGAGGAATATGATGTAGTGGGGTGGTAACTGTTTCTTGGACAGAGAACTATACTATCCTGACAGGGTGATAATCTGGCTGGAAGACAAGGGGAGCAGCAAGCTGACATGCTTGCTCCTGACCTGCAGCATCCACCCAGCTATCCCGGTTCTGGGTTCCCCACTCCCATCTCTGCCAACACCCCTCACTCCTGCAGCTCCTCTCATGTTCTTTTGTCAGCTTCCCCATGAAGCTCTGCTTGTACACCTCAGTTTTACATATGCCCTTCACCCTGCTATTGCAGTCCTGGGCCTCTCCTGAGTGAAAACTGACTTGCCAGATCAGTGTGGGGTTTTGTGATGCAAAGAAGCATTGTCTGGGGTGTAAACTGAGGCCAGTGAACTCATGTTACTTGCGAGTGAAATCAGGGTTGCAGTCCAGGTTTTAAGCAGTGAGCAACCAACACATTACCTCACTATGCTAGCTCCTACACCCCAAGAAAAGAGTGCTCTAAGTTGACTTCGAGTCCTTGTCCGTGTGTGTGTGTGTGGGTGTGTGTGTGTGTGTGTTCACTTCCCTCCACTGAGCTGTTGGGGTAGTTCGCACTAGAGCAGTGAAAGTCCAGCCAGCCTTGGACACCGACCTCTCCTTTGCAACCTCCAATCCCCAAAGCAACACAAGGCCCAACTTAGTTTTTCCCTTTCATGTGCGCTCCCAGATAGTCCCTGCTGGTTGTCAGAGGAGCTGGGGGAGCGGCTGTGCTGCTCTGCAGCCCTAGCAGAGCTGCTTTGCAGGAAGGATGAGGTCATTTCATGCTGACAGCCCTGTTTTCCTGTGGGTGATGGATTGCAAGGCACAGCATGTAAATAAAATGCCTGTGTCACCTGCAGGCTTATCTCCCAACACCGAGGGCTGGGTGGGGAAGGGCCCTGCCTGCCGCAGCAGGGATAGGAGACATACTCTCAAGTTGCTTCCTAGCTCCCTGCACTTGGTACAGCAATAGCTGCTCAGTGTCTTTAACTACCTGCCGTTCCATGAACGGGCAGTGTGACTTATAAGCATGAGCTGAGCTGAGCCCAAACCCTCCTGCCTGATGTGATCAGCTGTTGTCTTTGCTTGGCTCTTCAGTGAAGGTGAGACAGACCATCCTTTCTGGCTGCCTGACCTCATTTCAGAAGGGTTTCTGGCCTGGGCAGCCCATAGTGTGCATGTAGCCTAGTGGTCAGGGATTCGGTAGTGGGGACTACCAGGCATTGTGAAGTCTGGTGTCTGCTAATGTTCACAGCTTAGAGCTTAGGATGCCATGACAGGGCCAATGCAGCACAATAGCCACCACCCTAAGGGCCCCATTCAACCTGTCTCAGTCTTGGGAGGAACCGCTTTGAAGTCACAGAACCTTCTCATGGGAGGGGACATGGTGTGCCAGGCTTGGTCCAGAATAGGTCTCGGAGAGCAGGGCCCTTTCCTGCACACACAAGTGTGGCTGGGAATTAGGATTCCTGGGTTGTCTTCCCAGCTCTGTCACAGATGTGAGATATGACCTTGAGGTACCTTTCTGTGCCTCAGCTTCTCTGACTGCTCAATGGGCCAATAACACTCCGCCACTTCCAACGGGGACTGTTGAGGAGCCTGAGCTAACATTCAAAGAGCATGTTGAGCCATACAGATGGCAAGAACGTTAGACTGGCGCAGTGCTGTGTCTTTGTTTTTCTTGAGGCAACAGGCTTAGGGGCAGGCCAGGGACTGCATGCAACCTACAAACTCTTTCTGCACTAGAAGTGAGCCCTTATGACACTGGTGACTTCACTCACAGCCACTGTCCCCCATACCAGAGGAGAAGGCAACCCCACAGGGCAGTGGGGTCCCACCTCCCTCTTAGCATGGTTGGGAATCTTGCATGTGTTCAGTATCCTAGGAGCTGTGGATGTTATTCCAAGCTTGCTCCCAAACACAGCTCACACACGGGGAAGAATCTAAACAATCTCACAGCCTCTGCCTTGAATTGAACTGGATTAACAACACTGTTCATTTTGGACCTTCTCCCCAGCTATGACTGCTCTTAGAGGTCCTCCCTCAGCCCTGCTCAGCACACACTCTAGATCATGGGTGGCCAACCTGTGGCATATGTGCCAGAAGTGGCACAGGCAGCTTCTGCTTGTCCCATGCAGCAGTGAAAGGATTGGGAGCCCAGATAGGACAGGGAGCAGAAAGCAGAGCAGCAGATTGGATGGGAAGCACACGGCAGGGAGCAGAAAGCAAAGAAATTGAACTGGCAGGGGAAGAGGATCAGAATGGCACTTGGGAAGTGTGTGATGCCTAACCTGTAGCACACCTGCCAAAAAGGTTGGTCCCCAGGGCTCTAGATTGTCTTCTCCCAGTCATGTCCTTTGTGTCCAGGTGGGATGATGAGCCAGCTACCGAAGTAAATCAACCACACACGTAATATTTTCCCAGTAGGCTCAACAGTGGTAGCAGGAAATAGCTAGTGTTCTGGTAAGGATGGCTAGCATATATTTACAGCCTGCAAGAACTACACCACAAAGCCCCTATCCTTGTGGCTGTTTTTGGAGGAGCTGAGACCTTGGGTGCTCAAGGGAGTGGTATCCAGCCTTTTACTGGTGAGAAGCTGAGACTCGGCACCCACAGGCTCCACCAGTAGGTCTTTCTCAACAAGGAAGTGGACGTGGAAGAAGAAAAGCAGGAGGCTAGGAGCACCTGGGGTGGTGACATCTGCTCTCTGGTGGACTAAGGTCCCCACCCTTCCATGTGGCCATCCCCTAGTTCCCTTGGTTTGTAAGGGCCTTGTTTTGAGGTGGGTTGATCTGGGGTGACTGGGCTCTGTACGAATGAGAACTTCAGGGCCAGCTCCTGAGCATGAAACTGTCCTTTCCCAAGACTGTCACTAGGATGAAAAGCCCGTGGAGCGGGGACAGGAGGAGCCTGTCTCATATAGTGGGGAACTGGGCAAACCTGTCAGGGGGTGCAGCCTATCTGGCCTGGGGCAGGCAGTCTAGTCTGAGATGAGTAGAGTGAACATCCTTAACTGAGCAGCTGTTGTCATGTTTATGAAATGGACCTAGTGGGCTCAGCTGGGAATGGAACGTTTGCAGGGAGAGCCCAATCGGGCTGTGCTCTGAGAAGGTCATGAATGGGGAAGACACATAGAATGGCCCCATGCAGTGAGGCAATCACTATTCTGTCGCTGCAGCGCTCGGACTGGCAGGTGGAGGGGGCCTGCATGTTCACAGACAGATACTCTGGTGGGTTGCCCTGAGCCCTGCTTCAGATCTCCCTGTGAGGCCACACCACAGCAGGCAGGGTTCTAGTGCTTTGTGCTGCCCACAGTACTGTCACTGAGTGTCCTGGTTGGAGTTTGTATTTCAAAGAGACTAAATGAAAGGTGCAGGTCCGTACTGAGAGCCCTGGTAGGAGAATCTGTTTCTAAGACAGGATTTGTTCAGCCCTTGCAGTTGCATGGAAAAGTTTGTGAAGTGTGATCTAAAGGTAGTCTATGCACCATCTACTGGAATGTGCAGGTGGCCTGAAACAACTTTTCAGAGGGGTGAAGCTGCCATAGTTGGAGCCTGTTGCTCCACGTTGTCCCTGCACTGGGTCATATGGGCACCATCATGGCTAGGGCAGTGTTGGAAGAGGCCTATCACTCCAAGTCCTTTACTACAGTGATTGAGAGTCCTCCCTTCTTGATGGACACTTACCCACCATGGGACAGGGGAGGAGTGAGCCATGGAGGGTGACAGGCCTCCCATTAGCCCAGCACACAGCTCTGCCACCACCACACTAACTGGGGGTGATGCTCTGGTGCAGGGGCAGGATGGGAGGGACCCCAAAGGGAAAATATCTGTCTGGTCCTGGATTTACAGGCTGGTCTGTTAAGAGGTTGGGGTGACAGCTGTCACCTTTTTTGAAGGGGGTAGTGAGCAGAGTCCCTGCATATTCCATGTTGGCTCAGCCTGGGATTTAATCAGGGAGAGATGTGTCCACTGAATGCAGAGATCAGTCCTTACTCCCTCTCTGAATTATCTTGCAGGTGGAGCAGCTGCCATGCCATCCCATGCCAGGTGTCTCTGGGTTGAATACCAGTGCTCTGGTGTCACAGGCTGTTGGGGGCCTCCTGGGAGCAGAATGGGGGGAACCCTAGGGTTGTGGAGTAGGAGCAGTTCAGGGCCCTAGCACTGAAGTATCTAGAAAGCAGTTGCATTTCCAGCAGGCTGTGGGGCTGCTGCTGCAGCCGGGAGAGCACGCAGCTGGAGCATGGCTTTATCCTGATTTGGCCTTGACCTCTTGGCAGGGGGCTTTGTCCTATACTCAAATTAAACTATAGGATTTTTGTTGCCTGCTGCAACAGGGCTTTGAAAATGGCTGCTCCGGGAGCTGGGCTCAGCAGATAACACCATGCCACCCTACCCCACCCCACCACCACCATTCCCCTTGAGAGCTGGGAGGACTTACTCTACAGGAGTTCAGCCTTCATGACAGGCTGCTCAACTTGCCAGCCCCTTTCTTGTGCTCTTCCCACTGGTCCAGTAGTGTAACTAGTGGTGGATGAGTAGGACTTCATCCCCAGGTGCCGATTTAAAGGGGTGCCTGCTCCCCAGGGGCAGCTGTAGCTGGTGTGTGGGGAGCTCATGCCATGGTATATAGGACTCTGCCCACCCCCACCTTCCCCCACATGCTCTGCTCTCCAGCACTCAGCAAAATACACTCGTCTGGGCTCTGCCCAGGATGCCTTTGTGTTGATCTTCTCCCTCCCAATCTGATCCATCAGCCTCCTTTGAGACCACAGTCACCCCCCACACCCGGGCTGTGCCCACAACCCTCACTCAAGTCCTAAAACCGCAACACATCACCCTCTATGGACTCTGCTATGCTTTCTCTGCAAATCCTGCCCCTGGGCTGGAAGCAGTTTAGGGCATGCCTGGAGTTGGGGCACCACCTGGCTTCTTGGCCAGCTCCGTCCCCCAGCACTGATTGGCACAGGCGTCCTTGCTGCAGCAAGATGCGAGGTACTCAGAGCCTCAGCCCTGCACAGGGGCTCGTGCAGCTGGACCTCGGGCTGAGCTTGGATGCAGGCCAGTTCCTGCGCTGGCTGACCTTCGCCGGCGCCCCCGGTGGAGCTGGATCCCGGACAGCACATTCCGTCACCGCTGACCGCCAGACCGGGCCCCAGAGGAAGTGCAGCGCTTCTCCCCCTCTCCGAGTTGCCTAAAATAAGAGGCTCCAGATCCCTGTGGAGGAGCTGGGAGTTGAGCTGGGAACCCAGGCTGCCCAAGTGCCGTGCGGTCAGTGGAGGAAGATGGACAGGAGAATTGCCCTTTTGTTTTAGCAGCCCTCTCGCTTCAGAGCTTGGTTCATCCCTGGAGGGAATGGGGTGGGCAGGCAAGGGAAAACTGTCTCCAGAGCCCTGGAGTCTGCGAGGGGGGCAGGGCCCGAGACAGCAGAGCTGCAGAAGCAGGGAATGATGCATTTCCTCACCTCCCTTGCTTGAATAGTGGGACAGGCCACTGAGCAGGGGACAGCCAAGGCATAGTCCGAGAGGCACAAAGCAACTCTGTCAGCACCCCCCACTCCTGCCCTGAAGCCCTGCCCCACTGTCACAGCCCTGAGTTCCCCGACACCCAGCCCTACCCTTGTCCCTCACTCCTGCCCTGCACCTCCCCCTTTTTGTGGCACACTATTTGTTGAGTTGTGAGAGAAAGTAAATGTGTGGACCGTTCTCCTTTGTGGCAGGAGTGCCAGCTCCCTTTGCCTATGCCGAAGGGCAGCAGGCTGGCTGGCTGCTTCAGTCCATTTGCCTCATAGGTGCATTTGACCCAGTGCTGATGAGCTCTATGTACTTTGGGGGAGTGCCAGAGTGACCCTTCATAGGTCAGTTAACACTCTGGGGTGTGAAGCACAGGGTGAGCCCAGGATCACCAAGGGTGAGGCAGCTGGGGGGTAGAGGTGTGAAGTGGAGGCCTGTAAATGTCTGAGCTCCTAAAATATGTCAGTTCCATCGGCCAGCTCCTGACCACAGGCCTGGAGGACAATGGGGCTGTGCCTGCCTCTGAAAAGATACTAGGGCAATCCTGGGAATTACAGGCCAGCTCACTTTGAGCCAAGTATGTCAAATACATCTGCTTACCATGGGCCAGATGAGGGGTGCAGGGCCAGTTCCTGGGTTGGATCAGGCCCGTGGAAACCCTCCACATCCAAATGCCTGATCCACCACAGGCAGCACCTGCCCCTGCCAGTTCAGGACACTGACCCCAGTGGGTAGTGCAGTCCAGGACTCATCCCTGGCTGGCTGCCCCAATGAGGCCAGGCCCAGGCTGTGCTACCTGCACCGTTTGCTGGAGTTGGGTCCTGGGCTGTCCTGCCCATGCTACCTGCTGAGATGTGGGCGGTGCAGGTAGGGACCCAGTCCCAGGGAGCAGCATGGGCAGCATAGCCTGGGACCAGCCCCAGCAGATGTCACCACCCAGGACCTGGCCCCAGCTAGCTGCCTCACTACCAATCCCAGGCTGTACCACCTGCACTGCTGACTGAGGCCACATGCCAGGTTGTGATGCCCATGCTGCTGCTGAGATGTAAGCAGTGCAGCCGGGGACCAGCAGCAAGTAGCATAGTGGTGCAGCCTGGAACCAGCCGGAGCAAGCAGCGGAGACAGCAGACAAACGCTGCACATGGGGCCGGTTTGACATAGCAAAAGGGGCAGCATCAGGGACTGGATTATAGGGCTCTGCAGGCTGGACCTGGCCAGCGGGCCACATGTTTGACAACCCTGCCTTCAACTGTGCTCAGAGAGAGGTTTATAAAGCCTGTGTATGATTGGGAGGCTGACCACCACTGGTCCTGCAAGGGGAGATCATTCCTACCTACTCAGAGAGGACCCTGAGGCCGGCAGTAAAAGAGTCAACAGGTTTAGCTTCTGAAAAGCCCTTGATAAATTCACTTCCAAGAGGCTATTCAAGTGACCCTATAAGGAGGCACACTAACCCTTTGGTCTTTGTGTCTTCCCTAGCTTTCAGGAAGCCATGCAGCTGCTCCCTGGAAGGAGAGCATCAAGACCAAGGAGCCAGGTGGAATAGCTTGGCTAAAAACTGGCTTGAGAAACAGCACAGGGCAGGCAAACCCCAACCTGACCCCTCTCCTCGCTCAGTTCAACCAGGAGATAATGCAGGTAGAGGCCCTGCTACCCTTCCTGGGGAGGCCCAGGAGGAAGGTTTGGGGGTAGGAAGTGTGTATGGGCCCCAGGGCAGTCAGCTGGGATGCTGAGGCAGTGACATCTGGCACACATCTCTCCTTTGGGGTGCCATGTTGTTAGCAGGGAAGAGGGTGATAGAAGGAGCGAGCGGTCTGCTCCCAGCTCCAGTGGAAGAGTGAAGGGGGATGTGCCTGTGGCCAGAAGCCTTTCATGTGAGCAGTGGGAGGCGGGTGAACTCTCAGCCCAGAGCAAAGCCATTGTTGCGGCATGAGATCATATTTGGCTGCCTTTCTCCAAGCTGTCAGCCCTAGGGAGGGTGGGTCAGCCCACACAGGGGCCCAGCTTCCTCTCCCCACACAGCAGCAGAGGTGGCACAGGAAAGGAGGGTACAAATGAAGGGTACCTCTGCCTCTTCAGAAGAAATTTGGGGAGGGAGCACCAGGGGCCAGGAAAGGAAAAGAAAACAAATGCATCACATGGAGGGCAGAGACTCCTGGCTAGGCCTGCCCTTCTCAGGGAGGCCATGTCTTCTCCTGTTGGCCTTCAGGGAGCTGTGGCAGGTTGCTCCCCAGAGACAGCGGCCTGGGGACCTACACAGATATCCTGCCTAGGGTGGGTCCCATCTTTCTGGCACCAACACTGCTTCACTGCACCCTGGCAGCAGGCCCCTCTAGTCCAGTATCCACCCCCTACTCCGTGGATCTACCCTGCTAGCCCATTTGCCCTGCTGCTACCCCAGCTTGTGAACGGGGTGGTGTCAGGCCTATTTTCCCAGGCGAGGGGGCCATGGCCTTGGGAACTGAGACCTCCTCTCTGTTTGGCAGGCAGAGAATTGGGTGCGAGGGAAACTGCGGGACCTGAAGGACGGCTGTGAAATCCAGGACTGGGAGCGGGTGGCCCAGAACCTGCAAAGGGACATGAAGGATTTTGAGAACGCACTGATCAAACTCAACCAGGTATGGGGGTGGGGCTCTAGGACCCACTCAGCCCCCAGGGGTCCACCCAGCAGTCTGCTGTATTACTGGCCTGATCAATGTGCCCTGTCCTCTCCCCCACCCCTTCAGTGTCCCAGAGCCCACCTGGTGATACCCCTGCATCCCTCAGCTGCCCCTGTGCACTGCCAGTGCTCCAAAGCAGGCCTGGTGTCTCTGAGACCCTTCCCTCCCCTTCTTTCCCCAGATGGGTGAGCAGCTCATGGGCTGGCCCAGCCCCAGCGTGGAGACTGTCAGGAAGCAGCTGCTGGCCCTGAGGGAACAGTGGCAGCTGCTGAAGCAGACAGCCTCAAATCAGAGCAAAGCCCTGGGCGGGCTGAGGAGCCTCCAGGAGTTCAACAGGAAAGCTGAGCAGCTGGAGGCCTGGATCAGGCAGAAGGTATGGCCACGGTCACACTAGATGGGTCCTCATTCAGGTTTCTCCTGTGCCCCAGCCCTCCACAGTTTCCTAGGGACCTTCCCCCTGAAGGGGCATTTCTGCACCACACCATTCTGCTAAGGCTCTGGAGCAAGAGCCACCATATGGGAAGTGCATGGCCTCAAGGATAGGGGTTGCCAGAGGTCACCTGCTGAGCAGGGAATTGAACTCATGTTTGTCAGCTTCCCCTCCCCACTTGCTGTTGGGTTCAGGAGGGGACAGTTCCTCTGGAGGTCTCTCAACCTCCTCTGCCATCTCCGTGTTGTAACTAGCCCCCATCTGTCCCAGGAAGAGAAGCCCATGCTGGCTGCCCTCCTGCAGCAGAGCCTGGACAAGATCCAGCTCACCCGCCGTATCCTCGACTTAAAGCAGGTAAAAGTGGCTCAGTCTCCAGTGTCCTGTTCCCACAGGGCCCTGGCCCTCTCCACTATAGCTCAGCCCCCAGCTCCCAGGGAATGATGCATTTCCTCACCTTGGATTTCCTGGCTCAGGCCCTATCTCATCTCTCCACTGCAGAGGGTCTCATTCAGGGTCATTGGGGAGTCCTGGTGGCATAACCACACGTATGGGATCTGTTATGCGGCTGAGCTGCAGGTAGCTCACTAACACCATGCTCTCTTTTGGGGAGGCCTCTCCATATATCTACTGATGGACACAGTGCTCCCTGGTACTACAAGCGGAGGGTGGGTCTTCAAAAAGCAGGGTAGATATGCACCTTTATATATTAGTTAAATAATATATATATAGAGAGAGAGAGAGAGAGAGAGAGAGAGAGAGAGAGAGAGAGCAGAAGCTTTCATGAACCCAAGTTCACTCCTCAAAGCCACTCCAGTTGGAGGCAGAGCCCATGGTGCTGGGAGTCCTGGACCCAGTGGCTACTGTCCACGCCTCAGCAGTGAGCGCTGGTGCAGGGGCTGAGCTCTCCCATGGGCACTGGCTGCTTGTGCTACTTCTGTTTCCCTCCGTCTTGGCCCAGGAGGAGCAGCGGTTCCATGGCCTGCACGAGGAGATGAACACCTTGGCCCAGAGACTGGAGAAGCAGGGCAGGAGTGAAAGTAGGAGCATTTCCGCCCGGCGCAAGCACCTCAACAAAATGTGAGCCAGGGGCACGGGGCAGGGATGAGTCATCGCTGCCCAGAGCTAGGAAGGCTGAGCATGAGGAGGTCTGGGTCTGTGTGTTGTGACTGTAAGGCTCCTGGCTCCCATCTCCCACCTCTCACCAGGTTCCCATGGGAATGCGTGTGGGAGCTGTGCTGGGCCACACTGTCTCCTCTAGCCCCCTCATGGTCTCTCCTCCCAGGTGGCTGCGGCTCCAGGGGACCCTGAAGGAGCATCATGAGACTCTTCAGCTGGCCCTGGAGGCAGCTGCCTTCATCCAGCAAGCAGACATGCTCCTCAAAGCCATCCATGCCAAGGTACCCAGTGCTTAGACCAAGATTGGACCCTGCCTCCCCTCGGTGTTGGGACTATATAAGTGTTGGGAGAGCTGTTGCAAGGATGGTTTGGAAAAATCTCTGCTCTGCTCTCAGCCCTGGCACCTGGGCAGCAAGGGGATTAGGGATGCTGTGGAAGGGATATCCATGCCCCAGGAAGCCAGGGGGAGTGCTCCAGACTTGGCTCTTCAGGGAAACCCAGAGTCAGCTGAGGTCAGAGCAGTGTTGTTGAACCATTTCCACTCCCCTCTGGCCATGAGTTCAGTGGGCAAAGCTTGGGATCTCAACAGGGTTGAGTAGGGGCAATGGGCACCTATAATGCAGTGTGGAGGATGCCCCAGAAAAGGGGCTTGGATCTTCCCCACCCTGACCTGTACAGTCAATGATGTGGGCTTTCCCACTGCCCACATTCCCTCCCTTTGGGTGGGAGCTGAAATTAGAACCTTGGAGCCAGGATGAGTCCTGTACCCCATTCCTCAGCCTCTTGGAGGGGAGTGGAGCCCACAGTGAGGAGAAGTTAGGAATGAATGTGGGGCAGGATGTGAAGCTTTTCCCCTGTGGGCCTGCTTGGCCTCTTGAGAACCTGAGCACTTCTGCTGAGGCCTGGAGAAAGGTGACATCCCACTGACCCCCTGTTCTGGTCCTGAGTCACCTGACAGGGCTGCTCCTCACTCAGCCTGCTTTTGGGGCATCAGCCCATGAGTTGTATCACTGCCACTGCCTCAAGAGTTGATAACCCCTGCCCCACTGGGAGCTAGATGGGAGGAAGCAGCCCCTGTTAGATAAAGGCTCCCCCAGCCTAGGCAGTGCTGTGGGCTAGGATCATTCGTGGAGAGATATTCAGATACTCTAGTGATGCTCCAGAGGTTTGGGCCCTATTCCCACCTCACACTTCTGAGGGGACCATGACTGCTGCTTCATCTTGCAGTGGAGGAGTCTCTATGGAGTGGGGAAGCAGGGGGAGGCCGATCCCAGCCGGGACCAAGATGTGAGGGACATTGCCAGCCAGGTGATGGTAAGTGCTGGGCATCATGCTGCCCCAGACCCACAGGGAACACCTTGCTGGAGAAGTGAGGCGTGTGCCTTAAAGGGACCTCTCCCTCTGGCATCCGACTTGGTCACTGAGATGGTATGGGCTGGGTGGCATGAGCTGCAGTCAAACCCATGTCTGCCTGAGCTGTCAGCATGGAGGGATTACTGTGTGTCATGCTCTGAAACCTCTCTAGCTGAGGTGGCTGCATCTTGGGCTGCCCTCAGATGTCTAGAGTCTCAGAGGATGCTGGATGTTGGGCAGGGGCTGATGCATGAAGAGGAGGGGTCAGTGGGAAGGCTTGTGAGAAGGGAACAAGGGCCTCTCTGTCCTGCTTATCACCTTCTCCCAGAGGACTTAGCATAGCCTGCACTACCCAAACAGCCTCTGAGCTCAGCTCTGGCCTCAGGAGGCCCATCTACAGCCAGCTTCATTAGATCATTCCTCACATCTCTCTCCTTCAGATGTTGGATGTGACTGTGTCTCAGCTCATCAGTCTCCACCCCAGCCTGGTAGCCCGCGTCACTCACAAACACCGAGATGTCAAAGAGAGTTGGGCCCGGCTCCAGCAGGTGCTAAGGTATGGCAGAGCCTCTCAGGGATGAGTCTGAGAACCTTCATTAAAGGTTTCTGAGAAAAAGCTGAGTAGACTTCTATCTGGGACAGTGCAGAAATAGCCTCTCTTGCAGCTGTGCAGGGGGTTGGACTAGATAACTTTTTAAGGTGTCTTCCAGCCTTGTGATTCTCTGATCGGGCCCATGGGGGGTCACTTGATATTCATTCCCACCCCAAGATCAGATGAACAGAAAGGCTTATGTGTTAAAGCAGAGGGGCCGGATCCAGCCCACAGAGTAGGATCATCCAACACATGGATTTCTGCCCTCACTCGGGCTGCAGTGGTGGGGCTGCTTCCCACAGCAGGAGCCAGAGTCAGGGCAGGGCCCCAGCAGCACCACAGGCAGAAGCCTTGCAACCATGGTCAGAGCCCCAGCTCTGTCCATGGTGCCAGGGCTTCTTTCTGTGGCAGCAGCCCTCACCCCAGTAGCAGTGCAACCAGAAGCCCTGCCACCGTGGTCAGAGCCTTGGTGTGGTCCACAAGCACATACAAAGTAGAGGATGTGGCCCTCCAATCAATTCGCATTTAATACTCCTATATTCAAGCAAGAGGAAGTCTGGACTCGAATTCTGCTTTCAGCACTTCAGTTGCCTCTATGTTTGATCTGAAAAATACATCCTCATCCTGCTCTATGCCGCAGTTTTGTCATGTGTATAATGGGAGGGAGGGATCTCACCCCACTGTTATGGGGGTGCAGGCTGGATCTGTGAGTAGCAGGGAGTGAAGATGTGGGGCAGGCAGAAGGGCCTGTGACATGCCAGAGTGAAAGCTGTCTTTTAAATTTGTCTGAATAGCACAGGTACAATAAGCAATGGTAAGATTTTTCTGGAGCATTTACACAAGGCAACTGGAATTCACTGGCAGAGTTTGTGGATGACTCCTTTTTTTTAAAGCTGGCTCCAAGGTACCTTCACTTTCTGGGTTCCCTTGTCAGGGGCACCACACCCCTTTTCTCTTGTGAGCCTGCCTCCGCTCCTATGTCCGCCCCAGAGGAGTTCTGGAGGTCCACACAGCTCAGGTCTCCCTTCTCCACTCCTTGTCCTTTTGCCATGCAAGTGCCCTTCTTGCCTACTCTGACATCCCTTTTCCATCTTCTTCTGTGCTCCCCTTCTCCTAGGAATGAGAAGTCACCTGTGCAGTCCCTGACAAGCAGTTCTCCAAGGGAAGCCCTGAGCCCTGAGCAGACAGGAGGCAGTAGTGAGGGAGTTGCCGGAAGTGAAGCTGGAAACAAGGAAAAGAGAGTCCCAGGAAATGAGGTAAGAACAAAAGCTGGGCCCAGACCCCTACTCCCCTTCCCATGACAGGAACAGCCACACCTGTGCCACCTGACATAATTATTTGGCAAAGCAACATGGGAAGGTGCTTAATTATTTGTGCCCTGGACTGGAAGTAACAGCTTTGTGACTGCCACATGTCCACCCTTGTGAAGCTAGCGTGACCTCCTCTGCAGCCCCAGAATGACCAGCATATGACCATGCAAACCCTATAAGTTGTGTACAATACCACAAGGCCCTCAGTGATGTGCATGTGACTCCATGCCTCTCTGCAGCCACCTGGCACACCCATGCCCTTTCCTACTCCCACGTGTTGGTCTAGGCCAAGCTGGCATGTGTTCTTGTGTGGGTGTATCTCAGGGCTGTCACTGGCATCCCTCTGCAGCATTGCTGTAGTACATGCAGTTCTGGAAGGCAGCACCATAGCCCCAACCCCACCGACTTTACTTGGGAACCTGTAGCCAGGCTGGGTCTGCTCATAAGGGCACCCTGTATATAGGGTGGCAGGGGTTAGGAGCTAGTCCTGCAGATAGAAGTCCATGTCATATTCAACCCTGGAGCTGTGTGATAGAGGAACAAGACCCTAACAGGCTCTTTTTGTGCCCTAGGTGCAGAAGGATGTTTCAGGCAGTGTGACAGAGCATGTAAGAGGCGAGGAAGGCAGTCCAGGCTTTCCTGGAGGGCATCTCACCCAGGGGTGCCACAGCAGCAAGAGGTACTGGCTTGCAGAAACCACTCTCAGGAAGAGCAGAACCTGGAGAGTAGAGGGGAGAGCTCTAGGCTGGATATCACTAAGAGGGGAGAGGGGACCCATTCCATAGCTGCAAGAACTGCATCCCTAAGCCCATAATAGAGTCCCCAGAAGAGGCCTTGCTGACAGGGTGGGCCTGGCCCTTTGACGCAGACATCTGCCTTCATGCTACAACCTTCAGAGTCCACCTGGCACAGCCACCTGTCCCCCTTTCCCTGTGAACCCCATGGGAGGGACCTGGGGGGTCCTCATGGCAGGAGAGCGATTGGACATGACTCTCCCTCTCTCCCACAGGAGGAAGCTCCCAGGACACTCGGATGCTGGCTGGGGTGTGCCTCAGCAGGAGAGCCAGCTGCAGGACTACTGCCAGGCTGCTAACATGGTAATGTCTCCTAACAACCCACAGCATCTAGGTCTTTCTGTTGCATGTTCTCCCCAAGTATCTTCCTCTACTGCCCAAAACAGCCCCCAAGTCCCTTCCCCCATGACTCTGGCATCAATGTGACACCTCTCCCCTCCCTCCTGGTGCCCAACAGGCCATATCCTGGCTGAAGGAGGGTGCAGGGCCTGGCATCCAGCAGAACCAAGTGGAGGATGCTGAGAACTTAGAGGCACTGCAGAGCCACCAGGAAATCCTGGGCAACAGCACTGGCTTAGAGGCTGTCTGCCAGGTGAGCCACTGCTGGAGGGCCTGTGGGATCAGGAGCCCAAAGTGCGGGGAACTATTTGGGACTTGTGGGGGACCCCCAGGTATTGCAGTTCTGGGGATGTCCCTGGGGGTGCCTGGGGACACAGAGGGGCCTACATAGCTCTGCTGTGCTTGTATTCCATGCAGCTGGGCCCTCCTAGAGGGGACAGGCCAAGCACTGGCGGGTATGGCACTTCTTATAACCAGCTTCACTGTCCTTTGGGGTAGGACAGGAGTGAGCAGGGAGATCCAGGTCCCTGTTGCCCCCAGGCTCAGGTGGGGTTGTGAAGGGCACTTTCCCTGTCCTTAGCACTTGCCTCATCATCAGACACCTGATGAAGGCAGTGCCCACCTGGGCAGGACCTGACAGCATGTGTCCATCCCTGCCACAGGAAGGACAGAAGCTGTTGCGTGCCTGCCCCAGGGGAAGCCCCGAAGTGGAAGGTGTCCTCCGGGAGCTGGTGGGGCTGTGGGAGGAGCTGCAGAGGAAGCACCAGGAGAACGGCGCAGTGCTGAGGGAGATCGATAAGGTGTGTGGCACCATTTGGCCCTGCCGGAGTCCCAGGCACACAGAGACATTGTGAGCAGGGCCAAAAGGGGAGCACCCAGGCCTCAGGGACAGGCCCAACATTGCCAAGTGGCAAAGCAGCTTTGCATATATCTGGGTGGCCCATACCTGGGATGTGCCGGGAATGTTGGTCCCCAGCCTCAGCCAGGGCCCCTCAGTAGTTCAGTCTCCTTGGGAAGTCTTGGGAGGGGGGTGATAGTCTCTAAGGCTGCAACAGCCAGCTGGATGCCACACATTCCACCAGAGACAGGTGCCCTGGAACCAACTTGGGAATCCTCTGCCTCACGCAGCTGTAGCCAGTACTGCAGAGGCCTTGGAACAGAGAGGCATAACCAGCCAGTGCGATGTCCTGGGCAGAGATGCTAGAGAGAGACACGCAGAGAGATACAGAGGCAGTCTTACCAGCCCTGGAGACTGAAGGGATGCCAGCATAGTCTCCCTGGGGACCTCTAAATTGGTGCCCACTCGCCCACCTTGAGCGGGTGGGAACTCTGCTGGGTTTGAGAGACCTCTAAGTGGGTGGCTGTGGGTGTCTGGAGGCCCGGTCAGGAACTCTGTGAAACTGGGAGGATGCTGTGCCTTGCTGGGGTAGTCCAGGTCTGGCTCACACCACAGCAGTGTTCCCTGAGCCCCTAGTGTTCTCTGAGCACCTACTGGGGCTTTCTTTCAGGCCCTGCAAGGAGAGGCAGCTGGTCTACCAGGCCCAGTCTGGTGGTGTACAGCTACCTGTCTCACTCTCCACTTCTTTCCCACAGGCTTTGCGGCTGGTGGGGGAGCTGGACCAGGCCGAGCACTGGCTACAGGGTGTGGCAGGCTCACTCTCGGAGCCGGCTGCTATGAAGAACCCAGAGGAGCTCCGCAGGGACCTGCAGGACATTGGCAGCCTGGAGAACCAGCTCCTGCTTTGGGGCATCAGGCTCCAGGCCCTACGGGAGGAGATGGGCAGGGAGCCCTCCACGGGACATGAGGCTGCTGGGAGGATTCAAAGGAAGGTGGAGACTCTGGAGGAAAAGTGAGTAAGGCAGCACTGGGGGTGGGAGAGCAGCATCTGGACAAGGGATGGTATCGGCACAGGAAGGGATCCCTTTCAGCGGGCTTGGGGTGTTGGGCACCAGGAGGGAGTGGCAGGGGAGGGGGAGGGGGTTTCCACCCAGGGAGGAAATAGTGGGGGCAAAGAAAGGAGAAATACATGCCAGATACATCCCCCCTTTCCGGGAGCTGGCTGAAGGAGGAACAATGTGGACAGGCAGCATGGAGAACCAGCTCCTGCTGTGAGGCCTCCAGCTCATGCAGGAGGAGATGGGCAGGGAGCCCATCTCCTCAGCAGGTAGCATCCCTGGGGAGCTGCCCTGTGTGTCCCCTGCGTCCCTACCCCATGGACATGTTTGCTGCGCCAGGCTGAGGTGTGTGCGAGCAGCCCTCCGGCGGCGGGCATCGGACCTGCGCGACTCCCTGGTGCTATCCGAGTTCCTGCAGAATGTGCAGCAGGAAGAGGTGCTGAGCCAGAAGAGCCGTGTGCAGGTGAGCAGGGGATGGGGCAGGGCCTGGGGGCAGTTGAGGTGTGGGTGTCTATCTCTGATGGGGCAACGGGGATCTCTCATGTGCTGGCTCTCCCCCCCAGCAGCTCTCTGTAGCTGGTCCCTTGTGAGGCATGGTGTGCCCTGATTCCCTGATCCTGACTACCCCAGCCTATCACTGACTGCATCGGGGAGCCCATGCGCATGCCCCTGTCAAGGAGGCTCTATGCCTGTTGCAGTCCCTCTCTCAAGCCCCAGCATCACTTCTGTATGTTTGCTTTAGCCAGTGACCCACCAACTGGACCCCAAGGAGCCCTTGCACCTCCTGCTGGTGCAGTCTGGGCAGCAGCTGAACAGAGAGGGCATGAGCAGTCCCCTGGGGGAGCTGCAGGAGGCAGTGAAGATGCTGAATGATGCAGTGAAGGAACGGGAGCGGGTCATGGAGGCAGCGGCGGAGACGGAGAGCCTGGAGCGCCTGGTATGGGGCTAGCCTGGGAGGAGATGGGGAGAGCATCGTTCAGGTGAAGGAGGAGGTAGTGCCCACCACCTAGCGGCCATGGAGAGTGCAGCCAGCTTCCTAAGAGGAAAGGGTGACATTGGAAGTCTTCTCTGTCCAGCGTCTGCATGAGGGTCTGCTGATCAGTTACAACAGGGAGCTGGGAGCCAGGACTCCTAGGTTCTGTTTCTGATGGGAGGGGAGCATGATTTGATGCTTAGATCTAAAGCCAGGACTCTGAGACAGTCTGTGCTGGTGCTGGGCAGTGGCTGTCAGCCCTATGGCTAACAAGCAGCCAGTTGCTCTTACTCAGCTATGGCAGGGAGCCATGAACCTATGCTGGGTCCAGGGCACCAAGACAGAGCTGGTGTGGGGAGAAGAGGAGAGCATCTCTGTGGGCAGCTACAGCCTGGGAGTCAATTGCTGGGGTTCACCAGCCTCTTCTCCTCCCCCCAGCTGGCAGAGGTCTCCCTGCATATGCAGGCTGTCCGGTGCAGAGCAGAGACCCTGGCGCACGACATTGCCCAGGCAGAGAGGGGCTTTGCCACAGTGAAGAGCGAGTGGGATCTGCAGGGGCTGCAGGGTTTGCTGAGCCGGCAACAGGACATGGAGGTGAGTCCATGGGTGCATTGCTACCCACATGGCTGCACTGTATTAGTGAACTCACTAGCGCTCTCTACTGGCTTCCCACAGATCCTGAAGTGCCTATCTGCCCAACATGAGTGGGGTGGGGGGGCACAGGGCACGGAGTTTATCTAAAGGGTGGTCAGACCAAAAGCATCCCAGCCTGACTGTCACTCCTCCAAGGAGGTTCTGGCCCTCAGCCCCAAGTATCCTTAGCCCGGGCCTTTCATGGCAGGTTCGTCTGGGATTTTCCAGCCAAGCATAGCCCTAAGCTGTCTTCTCCTCCTGTGGCCAGGAGGTGAGAAAGGAAGGGATTGCGTCAGCTCCCCATGCCAGTGCCTGGCTGCCAACACCTCGCACATCTTTCCACTCTGCATCCTGATGGAAGGATCTGACTCATGCGGGGGGAGCAGACTGTCTGTGGGGAAGCTCAGATCCCCTCCAGCCCCACAGGGCACTCCTTGCAGCCCCTTTCCTTGTCCCCCTACAACTCCAGTCCACAGAATTCAGCTCTGTTACACCCCACAGCCTGCCCCCTCTGGACCATGGTTCCCAATGCAAGCCAGCCCAGCAATGAGAATTAGTGCCAAGCTCTGTTATGGGGCTGAAAACCCTGGTCTTTTGCTCTAAGGGGGAGGGGCAGGAAGCATCTTGAGCAGATTAAGTAGGGTTGCTAGGGTTCCCTTCTCTCCCCAGCCAGAGGGGCAGGGACCCTCCTATGGGTCTCTGAAGAGTGGTGACACTTCTCAGCATCCTGAGCCCTTTTGTGTCCCCAGCGTGAGATGTCAGAGGCACTGGAGGGGCACCTGGAAGAGCTGCAGAGGACAGCCACTTGCTTGGAAAAGCTCTGCGCCACTCAGAGGTGTGACCTGGTCCCAGAAGTGCAGGAGACGCTGAAAGCTGGGGAGGGTCTGCTGGCACTGGTGCTGGAAAACAAGACCCGCATGGAGCAGGCTGGTCAGCTACGGCAGTTCTTCAGGGATTACTTGGCTATGATGTGAGTGGCAGTGACCTCCAGCGAGGCATCATGGGCACCTGTGCAAGGAGCTGCTAGCCCTGCCTGCAAGGCCAAGGGCCAAGGAGGGTGCGGCCCTCCTGGGCTCAGCCATGGGGGCCAGTGCTGATTGCAGAATTGACAACCACTTGGACATATTGAAGCAGGTCCTTGGGGAAACCCAAGAGCCTAAAGACATAGTGGTCCCCTGCCACAAAGCAGGAGGTGCCCAGGGTCAGGGCAGTGTGAATCAAAGGATCTGTGCAGGGACAGCCAGCTGCAGCAGGCCCTATCGCTGTGCTCTTGGCCCCACATATGAGAGGGAACCAACCAGACCCCCAATATCATGAGCCTCTTTAAACAGTCATGACACTTATCAGCATTAGAGTCATTTTATTTTCGACATGCCTTCAAATGGAGCATAATCAGTACACACCCACGTCCCCTTGGCTGTTACCAGGGGTACTCTACCCTGTCACATATCCCTTCTCCTGGCCATCTCTGCACTGCCTGGTTTCCTATCCCCCTGCATTCATGCCCCTCCAAGTTTCCTCCCTGCCATGCTCACCTTACCTACCATACTGTCCCTCCTTTTTCCATCAACCTCCTGCCACTCTTGTTCTCTTCTCTTCCCCTTCATTGTTTCCTGTTTTGAAACTAGAGAACCTGGCAGTGGCAGCCTTCCTCCAAGACACCCTGGCTTTAGTCCTAGTGATACTAAAGGCCAGCCTTTCCTAGGGGGAGCCAGATAGCCACTGCAAAGGCCATAAGGAAGTGGCAGCCACATTCAAGATGATAGGAAGCAGAGGCCAGTTTTGGTAAAGGCCACTCCCTTACTTGGTGACCTGAGCATGTCCCCTCTCTGTGCCTCAGTTGCATTGCTGGTGACTCCAGGGTAATTCCTGTAAGGAAACGTGAAGGTTTAGAAATGTATCAGATCCCCCAGCAGTGCCCTGCAAGTTGAAATCTCTGGTCTTGTCTCAGTCAGGGGAGGCAACTCCTTGCTGAGACTGACAGAGAGGTGGTTTCCTCTGGCATTCCTTGGTGGTCAAATCCAGGGAGCAGAGGCCATGCAGTGTAGGACATTTTCCTGGCCAGTTTGACCCAACAAGGAGTTGGCCTTTTGCCTGGGAGATGGGGCCTGACCCGAGGAGTTTTTGGCCTGTGGCACCTCAAAAGGGGGAGCAGATTGGAAAGAGGGGAAGAGAGACCTGCATACACTTTGGCAGGTCCTGATACCCTGCTCCTGCATCCCCAGCTCCTGGACTGAGGACACGCGGGCTCAGATCTTCTCAGAAAACCTGAGCGCCCATGGCCTCCTGGAGGCCCAGTGTGAGGAGCTGGAGAGGAAGATTGAGGACAAGTTCATGGAGTTTGAGGAGCTGGCAGCAGCAGGCCAGAAGCTGGTCTCTGAGGAGCATGACCTGAGTGAGACAGTAAGCAGGATGCTGTCCCCTCCCCAAGGTGGGGTGGGGGACCCTTCACTGGCTTCCCACTGAGCTCCCTTGGGCTGGTGCAGGACAGGAGGAACCCACTCCTCCTTGGTGGGGGCCACTGAGACCCTGCCCAGAAGAAACCAGCTCAACCTGCCCAGCCTGGGTTCAGTGCAGTCAGACTGCACTGCTGTCTGGCTCCCAGGACTCAGAGGAAGGTGGCAAAGCTAGTTTTGCTCTGGGCTCCATCAGAGCTCTCTAGCAATGACCACTGAGCCCTGAGGCTCAGCTCCCAACACTGGCCTGGTCCCAGGGATGGGTGAAGAGGAAGCTTCTCTGGAAAGCAGCTTCCTCCTAGTCCCTGGTGCAAGTTCACATTCTCACAGGAGCCGCTGGTGTCTGTCTGTCTCCCCCCTTAGATCCAGGAGCGCATGGAGGAGCTGCAGAGCATGCTGGGGTGGGTGCTGGTGCGCTGGCGAGCCCAGAAGCACCAGCTAGACCCTGGGAGTAAAAGCAATGGTGGCAAGGGCCAGGACAATCCACTGGACTCTACCCAGAGTGCATTTCCTGGCAGCCAAGTGAGTGTGTAGGGTTGAGAACAAGGACCACCTGGGACTCTGCTGACTCAGCCCAGTGTGTGGAGCGGGTGGGGGCAGGGGTGCATCTGAAGGCAGCAAACATTTGCTGCACTGCCAAGGAAGAGATTGCCTGGGCAGTGCATGCCACATACAGCAAGGAGACTGGTGCTTTCCTCTCATACAGGAAGGGTGAGCTGGACCTGCAGAGCAGGAGTTGGGATCCTTGGGTTGTAGCCCTGGCTCTGCCCCTCACTTAGTGTGTGAGCAAGACCCCACCCATCTCTGTGCCTCAGTTTCACTTCTAGTGACTCCAGGATAATGGTCCTGACCCACCAGCCTGGGCATGGGCAGGGAGCCACAAGGTTGAACTTGTTACTGCCTGCGAAGCACTTGGGGATCCCTGAGTATAGCTTCCCTTGGTACTCAGAGCTCTCTGATGTAGAGCAGGAGACCTCAGCAAGTCCCAGTGCAAGCTGTAGCAGAGAGCTGTGAGGGAGAGCAGGAGAGGGCAGGATGTGGTTTTAGGCAGGAGTGATGGTGGGGAGGAAGAGGGAGGCTCCGTGGGCGAGCAGGCATCTCCACAACCCCACATCTTCCCTGTCTGCTGTTGCTTCTCAGGATCGACATGCCCCATCAGTTTTGCCTGATGCTAAGAGCTTGCTGGGCCCTAATGCTTCAAAAGGACCTCAGCCTTCATCATGCTCCTTCCTGGAGCCCCTCACTCCCCCACAGGACCTCAAGGCACAGCCCCAGAGGCAGGAGAAAGAAGTGGTGCCTCCTTCAGTACTGCCCGTTCCCAGACGGGAGCTGAGCTGGGAAGGTCCTGGTGACTCCACACCACTGGAGATAGGAATCCCCAAGGAGACCCTGGTCAACCCCTCCAAGACCCCAGTGGTGGTGGTGCCGCCGCGAGGCCCCAGCAGCGTGGGAGGGACAGTCAGCTTGATCCTGAGCATTGGCAAGAAAGGGGATAAGAGGCTACAGCTGGCGCAGGCTGGAGCGGAGCAGGGGGAAGAGGCCCTGCACAAGGTGGGTGATGCTGGCTGGGCGGTACAGCTTCTGCAGGCCAGAGAGAGAGCTTCAAGCACATGGCTTGTGTGGTGCCATTGGTAGTGCTGCGCAAGGGGGCTTTGCGCGCCAGTGAGACAGCCTTTTTCCAATGGAGCTGCTGGAAGGGTTGATGCTGTGCCTTATTGTGGAGCTTGGCCCACAGCAGCTGTGCTCAGGGCTGTAGTTATATCAGCTTGCAAACTCCCAGGTGCGCTTGGAGGGGCATGACAAACCCCAGGTATTCCCAGGCGAGCTCCGGCCTCAGTTGGAGTTAGTTCAGGAAATTCGCCACAGTTGCTAGTGAGTACTCTAGAGGCAGGTGGATTTTCTGGCTGAGGAATCCCCAGTGCTGCCTGTGCCCCTGCCTCTTCGGGTGGCAGAAGCAATACAAGCTCCTTTGGCTTCCCTGTGCCAGGCACTGGCCTGTCCCACCACAACACCTGCTTCTCCTCCCTCCTGGCTCCTCCTCCTCCTCCTCCTCACAGTAGCAGACCACTCTCACTTCTCCCTCAATTCTGTATTTGTGTCTCTCTCTCCCCACCCTCAGCTCTCTGGCACTAAACCCTCAGGCTGTAAAACCTTTTGGAAGCGTTGCCAGGGGCTTTTAGGAAACACTTTGGGTAGTTTAAGGCGAAAGAGAAAGTCATCTCGCCAGCCTGTGGAAGAGGTAACATCCCTGGGGCTGCATGCTGGGCAAAGGGGCTGCATGGCATGAGCTTGGCCTCTACTAACACGCCAGACCATCTCTGCAAGTGCCTCTGTGTCCCCT